ACATACATACATACATACATACATACATACATACATACATACATACATACTATATATATATACTTATATACATGTAACCATACAGTAGCTCTCAAAAGTATTCGGCCAAATACTGTCACGCTTTTTCGTTCACAACTTTTTTCTTATTAGAGCGAATCGCGCGAAATTTTGATATGTTTAACTGAAGCATATTTCACACCATCCAACTCTGTTTGACGGCAGAGCAGCAATATCCACATAACTGAGAGCGGCTCGTTTTTTGCGGTAGCAGTGTTCGCTCAAGCAAAATGAGTGTCGTCGGCAGTTATTCGCATTTTATGTGCGTTGTTCTGTTCGGCATTAGCGCTCGTACACTTAAGACATGGCAAAAAGGGAAGAAATCCAATGTCTGTATTTTCAGTACATTTCGAGTTCAAGCCCTTTGAAATATATGGAACATGATCAGATTGCAGGTTAATAGTGGTAAATATTCACAATACACCCATGCTACAGACAATGAAATTTCGCATCACTACATCAAGTAGGAAAGGAGTTACGACTGAAAAGTACAAGTGAAAAAGCATTTCGCCGATTACTTTTGAGCATTACTGTATATATTTACATATATGTATCTATAAAAAACGCACTAAGTAAGTCTGTTGGTTTGTCTGTATGCACAGTAGCGGCCAAAATTCTCCAGTGAAACGCCTTTTCAATCAACTTTTCCTCAAATAAAGATTTCAAGAAGGTTTTGTATATATCGAGCCTTTCCTTTATTCGAACCTGTTCATATTTCTTGGCTTTGAAACTGAGGGTCACGTGACTACTTACAAAGCACGTAATCAAGCGAGCCGCCAGTTTTAAAAGTGAAGCGATTTTTCCAGATTAAAAGGTTGGCAGTAATTGTGCTCTCATTTGTGCTTGACGCTATTGCTTGTACACTTAAGGCATGCACAGAAGGATCAAAGTCAGTCATGGAGACCGGTTGGCAACAGTAGACATGGAGGAATCCGATATGAAAGTAACGGCCGTCTCAAGAATTTTGAAGATTACGCAGCAGACTGTCTCTTCGGTTATCCAACGCTACCAGGTCAGGACATCTGTTTGCTTGTTGCTGAAATTTGTTTGCTGTCAGGATGAAAAGGCTCTGGTGCATTTCATCAGCCTTGGATAGGCGGATCATACGTAGGTCGAAGGCTCACCCTTGCCTCACTGCGACTGACATTGCCGTTGGATTCGCTAGCGATGGCACCAATCTAAGTGGGAGGACGATAAGAAGACGCTCAATAATGCTGGTATTTACGAGAGACGTCCAGCCAAACAGCCGCTTATCAGTAAGAAATAGGAGAACTAGAGTAAGGTTTGCGCTCTGTCACCACCTCAACCCTCAACCGACCTCAACTGACTGGAGTAAGGTTCTTTTTACGGACGACAGTAGGTTCAATTTGTTTGGAAGCGATGGCATACGGTACGTACGACGTTCAGCTGGGGAGGTTTAATCCAAAGCACGTCTTGCCCACAATCAAGCATGGTGGAGGAAGTGTGATGGTACACGGTGCCTTCTCTTCGAAAGGAATGAGCCCTGTTTTAATATCGATTGTACCATGGCAGGGGAGTACCACAAGAACGTGATGATCTACATCGTCTTGCCGTGGTCCTAGAAGCACCTGTCAGCAGGATGGATTTTACGGCAGATAACGATACTAAACACAACTCAATGGTTGGGAAGGAGACCTTCAGCCAACAGCGAGTCGGACTTGTAGAGAAGCCTAGCCAGCCAGCCACATCTGAATTCTACAGAGCACATGTGGAAAGAACTTAAGAGGCGTCGTGCGAATAAACCATGGAAACAGTGCCGAAAAATTCAGTCAATTAGCGAAGGAGTGGGACGCCATGCCATTGTCTGCCATCGAAAAATTAATTGACCCAGTGATCGATAATTTTCTTGTTTAAGATATTGTTAATCTGAAATGAAATGTTCTTTCTCAGGCCAGTACTATCTTTATTTCTCACTGAATTTGAGTTAAGTCTTACTAACGTACCGTGAACAATGGCAAATTGCAATCTAAAAGTGGGAAATACTCACAATATCTTTTTGAATAGCACGCTAAAATTTGCTGTGATTTTATGAAGTAGGTGAGAAGATACGATTGAAAGAGCGTTCCTATTCGCTGTGATTTTATGAAGTAGGTGAGTAGATACGATTGAAAGAGCGTTCCATCAAAGACGGTTGGCCGCTGCTGTATGTGTATGTGTGTATCTATCTATAATACGTGTATATGTGTATGCGGATATATGTATGCGCGTGTGTGTATGTATGATTTATGTAATAACGTGTGTGTGCATGTCTGTGTGTTTGTGTGGGAGCAGACGCGAACAAAAGCTTGACCATAAATTCATAACTTTTATTCCTGTAGACCTAGAGTACTTTGTTTCCTATTCGGTGAGAGTTCAACGGCAGGATGGGAATATATATGTAGGTGGCAGGGATAAACTATGCACACAGTGGTTGAGCGTAAGCGAGAATTTTTAATTTAGCCCCAAGCGTTCAAATTCGGTAGGAGTATAGGCGGCAGTCTACTAACCCAGATAATAGGTGACACGACTAGGTTCCACTCACAGGGGCCGGGGCAAATTGTCAATTTGGGCCCGAGCCAAATTTGGTAGGAGTACACATGGCAGTATGGCAACACTGATGATAGGTCTCAGGACTAGACTTTGCCTCATAGGATCGAGCGTGCGTTTTTTAAATCTTTAGTTTGGGTCTGGAGCCTTAGGGGCAGGCGGCAATGTGGAAAGTTTGACGGTGGGTAGCACGACTGAAAGTTGTTAATTTCGACATGAGGTGTTCTAGTTTTGAGGGAGTACAGGCGGCAGGATCAACACAGTGATGGCGGGAGGAAGAAAGTGACTGAACCGGACCCTGCCAGCGGGGGCGGCAGGGGATCTACAGGCGCAACAAATTGAATTTGTACCTCTCTTTCCCTGTACCAGAGCCTCCAAATTTCTAACGGCTGCGGGTGACGGGTTAACTTTAGCCGGGCGATTCGATTGGTATATCTACAGTGCGTTTCATAATTATAAGGTCACCCTCAAATTTTGCACTTTCAGAAAAAGCAATAATTAAGGATTTTTTCTAGCATCATAGTCGGATTAACCACCATTAACCATCACCACCAACCACGAATAACCTAGGTTTCCGGTTTTTGGTAGCAGCTGCATTTTTCTGAGCTTTTTTAGAACAGTTTATCGGTTTTTGCACTGTTTCATAATTATAAGGTCACCCTGAGAAAGTGAGCAACTATT